ATTCTGTATCATAAAAAAATTATAGATTATTTATCATTTTAAAATTCCCGCCAACACGACGTCGCGAGTCCAATAGTCAGCAATCGTACTTCCTGAAAATATGGGAGTAATGTAAAATGTATGTTTATTTCCAAAACTTGGATATTAAGTGTAAAAATTCAACTCGGATCCATAAACCACAAGTGCAGGGTATGTTGTTTTATAAAATTTAAATAACATTTATTCGGCAACATTTTGTGATGGCGTCATTCATTTTTTTTTGGGATGGGATAGACGGATAAATTGATTATCGATTTACCATTCTTACGATAACCTTAAAACCGCTGAAAGATTTCAGAACCTTCGGTTTTGCAATTTCAAAATTAATTTGCAAAATGTTCGTATATAATTTTGATTTTTACTTCTCGAGCGTAATTTTATAAAAAACGTACTCCTGTATTAGTGGTTTATGAATCCGTGCTGAATTTTTACCCTATGCATCCAGATTTTTGGAACATTTCAGTTTTGAGATTGTATTCAATTTTTCGATTTTCCTATTTCTCGATTTCTGGACTTTTTTCAATATTTCTATTCTTAACTTTTTCGATTTTTCGACTTTACAATTTCTCGATTTTTCAGATCTTCGATATTGCAGTTTTTCAAAGTATAAAATTTTAGATTTTTCTACTTTTTGGTATTTTGATTTCTTGATCCTTTGTTTTTTTGACTTCTCGGTTTTAGATTTTTCGGCTTTTCAATTTTTCACATTTTCGATTTACCAAGATTTCTATGTTTTAATTGTTCGATTGATCTCAAGTTTGAATTCTCAATTTTTCGATTTTTCAATTTTGAGTTATTTCGATTTCTTAATTTTTCGACTTCTCGACTTTTCGATGTCTCGATTTTTCCGTATCTCGGTTTTTGGGTATCTAGTTTCGAGATCTCGATTTGTTTTTTTCTTTTTCAGTTTTTTGATTTTATAATTTTTCGATTTTTTGGTTTTTAAATGACTATTTTTTTAGATTTTTCGAATTTTGGATTTTTTTATTTTCCTGTTTCTCGATTTCTCGATTTTTCAATTCTTCAGTTTTCCGAACTCTCATTTTTTACATGTTTCAGTTTTGAGATTTTTAATAATTTCGATTCTTCAATTTTTCTTCGATTTTTCGACTTTCCGATTTTTCGATTTTTTACTTTTGGGATTTTTAAATTTTAGATTTTTCAGTTTTGAGATTTTTAATAATTTTGATTCTTCAATTTTTCAACTTTTCAATTTTTTAAATTTTAGATTTTTCGATTTCTCGATTTTTCAATTCTTCGATATTTTGATTTCTCGGTCTTTTGATTTTTCGACCATTCGGTGATAGATTTTTCGGTTTTTCAATTATTCGATTTTTAATTTTGAGCTACTTTGATTTCTTAATTTTTCGATTTCTCGACTTTTCGATTTTTGGGCATCTCGGTTTTTCGTTTTTCCAATTTTTCGATGATTTGAGTTTGCAATTTATCGATTTCCCTATTTTTCCACATTTCAGATTTCGAATTTTTCAATTTTTCGATTTTTTAAAGGTTGGATTTTTCGAGATTTCGATTTGTTTTTTTATAATTTTTCAATTTTTTGATTTTATAATTTTTCAATTTTTTAGTTTTTCAAGATTATTTTTTCAATTTTTCGACTTTCCTGTTTCTCGAATTCTTGAATTTTCAATGTTTCAATTTTTCGATTTTCCAATGTTTCAATTCTTCAATTTTTCAATTCCTCATGTTTTCCCTGTTTCAGTTTTGGGATTTTTAATTATTTCGATTCTTCAATTTTTCTTCGATTTTTAAGTTTTTCGATATTTCACAATGGAATTTTTCAACATTTCGACTTTCGACTTTCCGATTTGTGGATTTTTTACTTTTCGGATTTTTAAATTTTCAACTTCTCGATTTTGTGATATTTTAATTTTTCAATTTTTTTAATTTTAGATTTTTTGATTTCTCGATTTTTCAGTTTGTCTATATTTCAATTTCTAATATTTTTAAATTTTAGATTTTTTGATATTTTGCATTCTCGTTCTTTTAATTTTTCAACTTCTCGATTTTAGATTTTTTGGTTTTTCAATTTTACGTCTTCTCGATTTACCGAGATGTCGATGTTTTAATTTTTGAATTTTTCAATTTTTGAGCTATTTCGATTTCTTAATTTTTCGAGTTCTCGACTTTTCGAAATCTTGATTTTTCAATATCTTGATTTTTGGGAATCTAAGTTTTTCGTTTTTTCAGTTTTTCGATGATTTGAGTTTTCGATTTATCGATTTCCGTATTTTTCCACATTTCAGTTTTCGAATTTTTCAATTTCTCGATTTTTCAATTTTTGGATTTTGCAATGATCCGATTTTTCAATTTTTTTTAAACGTTGGATTTTTCGAGATCTCGATTTCTTGTTTTTTTTTTTAATTTTTTGACGTCTCGTTTTTTCGACTTATCGATTTTTTGACTTTGAGATTTTTTGATATTCCTGTTTCTCGATTTCTTGAATTTTCAATTTTGCAAATCTTGAGTTTTTCGAATTCTCTTTTTTTCCATGTTTCAGTTTTGGAATTTTTAAATATTTCGATTCTTCAATTTTTCTTCGATTTTTGAGTACTTCGATTCTTAGCTTTTTCGATTTACGACTTTCCGATTTGTCAATTTTTTACTTTTCGAATTTTTGAATTTTAAAATTTTCAACTTTTTAGATTTTTAGATTTCTCGATTTTTCGGTTCTTCTATATGGATTTCATTTTCTCAAATTTTTAAATTTTAGATTTTTCATCTTTTTGATATTTTGAATTCTCGATCTTTCGGTTTTTCAATTTTTCGATTTTTCAATTTTACGTATTCTCGATTTACCGAGATTTCAATGTTTTAATTTTTCGATTTTTCAGTTTTGAGCTATTTCGATTTATTAATTTTTCAAGTTCTCGACTTTTCGATATTTAGAGTTTTCAATTTTTCGATTTCCCTATTTTTTGACATTTCATTTTTGGAATTCTTCAATTTCTCTATTATTGATTTTTTTCTAATGTTTAATGGTCCGATTTTCCAATTTTTCGATTTTTTAAAGGTTGAATTTTTCTAGTTCTCGACTTCTCGTTTTTTTAATTTTTCCGATTTTTGATTTTTTAGTTTTTCGATTTTTTTAATTTTTGAAGGATTATTTTTAAAATTTTTCGACATTTCCACTTTTGGATTTCACGATTTTTCAAGTTTTCGTTTTCTCAGTTTTTCAATATTTCAATTTTGGAAAATTTTCAATTTTTCGATGTTTTAATGTTTCGATTCTTTAAATTGTATATTTTTCGAATTTTTTTGATATTTCGATTGCTCGATCTTTCGTTTTTCGACTTTTCGCATTTGGATTTTTCAGTTCTTCGATATTTCAATTTTTCATATTTCTTAATTAAATTTTTTTCAGATTTTTAGTGTTTTTGAGTTCTCGCTTTTTCGATTTTTCGACTTCTCGGTTTTTCAATTTTTCGTATTCTCGATTTACCCAGATTTCGATGTTTTAATTCGATTGAACAATTTTCTGAATGTTCTATTTTTTGATTCTTCAATTTATCAATTTTTTTAAATTGCAAATTTGTCGGTTTTTAATTTTTCGACTTTCCGATTTCTCGGTTTTTCGATTTTTCGGGTTTTCGATTCTTCAATTTCCCAATTTATCGACAGTTTTGAAATTTTTCAATTTCTCTATTAATCAATTTTTCGATTTTTAATTTTTGAATGATCATTGTTTACATTTTTCGAATTTTTGATTTTTTGACATCTCCGTTTTTGATTTTTTAAATTTTTCGATTTTTCAATTTTTAGATTTGTGAATTTTTCAAGTTTTCGATTTCTCAATTTTAATCGATATTTCGATTTTGGGAATTTTTTAATTTCTGTATTTTTTGATTTTTTAAATTTTAGAATTTTCGAGTTTTTGACGTTTCGATTGCTCGATATTTCGATTTTTAAACTTTTCCACTTTTGATTTTTCGAGGTTTTTTCCCGTTGCTTCAAATATATTTCATATTGTCCGCACTTATACGAATTGCGGCTCCTTATTACAATTACATTTTCTAATTTGTCTTGGAATCTATGTAAGGACTTTTTGACATTTTGCCAAGGCGCTGAATTTCACTTAGGAATGAAAGAAAATCGGCGAAAATTGATATATTTATTCCCTCCACAAACCTGATGACGTTGCCTTAAAATTTTGCTAAGCAAATCCAGTTTAAATTTTCCACAGTAGGATATTTCTTTAACTGTATCGATTAACCACAAGGAGACAAAGTTTCATTACGGATAACGGATAAATTTTAATTAAGAGTGCAAGATTTCAATTCATTCGGTTTTGCACTTTCAAAGTTAAAGTGTAAAATGTTATAAGGACACACAGACGGAAACGGGGACCTATTGTTCCGTCCTTTAGAGGTCATGACACGTCCAACATGAAACCAGCATTCGTCGAAATTTTTGAAACGAATTGCGTGTTCTCAATAGGTACATAATTACAAAACTCGCCATCAGTCATCACAACGGCTAAGCTGTAAAATTGATTTATTGTCTAATTTAAGCTCAAATCGTCTATTGAATGAGATAAAATTTCCAACCAATTAAAAATCCGAAACTCCCACTGAAGCGACCTTGATTCTAACTGAAACTCGTTTATAGAACCCACAACGTTTTATTTAAACCAAATATGTATAAAATCAAAAAAATCCAAAAAAAAACTTGTTATTGACACTACCGGCGGAATTCTGTAGTCGTCCATCGTTGCAGTTTTCTTACATAACACCACTCCAGACCTACGCTAAAATATTCGTACAATTTTAATGTCGAATCGCTGAAACCATTAACACCCCAGTGACACTCGACCCCTCATTACGCTGCGGCAAAAACATGAATTATTCGCCCCGAATTCGGATGTTCATTGTTTACAAGCCGTTGCGGGAAACGTAAAATGCTCCACCCGAATTTGCATTATAACAGGGAAAATAACGTTGCAGGTTGCCGACAGAGACACACTGACTTCAGTAGCGGCCCGGTTTGATACGACACCCTCAGAATTGACCAAATTGAATAGATTAGCGACGCCTTACATATTCCCCGGCCAGCAACTGTACGTACCAATCAGAGAACAACCGGAAAATGAGTCCGAAGGATCGACCCCTGTAGAAGACTCGCACGATGATCTGCCTCCAGAAGAGAAAGGTGCGTATTTTGCTCGTAATTAATATTATCATTAATAGATAGATGGACAAATAACGTTTGTTTTTGCCCACGGCCTTAAAATAATTATAATATAATCATATTATTTAAACGTAAAATACTAATTATATACAGGGTGTCCCAGAATTCGCGCCATTCCCGTGAATGACATGTTCCCTGTCCCGAACTGTGCCGTAATTCGCAAAAAGAATTGTCCAGGCTTTAACCGTGTGAGAACTGGAAGGCGATTAAGTTGACCAATAGAGAGGCTGCTTTTATATCCGAACGTTTCTATGTTCAAAGTTACCTATGTCAAGAACAAAAAATCCGGTAATACTAAAGTTGAATGAATTTTTTCCGAATCCCCCTCCGTCAACAAAAGGAAACAGAAGTGTGGTTATAAATTTAATCATTTTGACAATTGTTTGTCATAAACTGTCACGAAGTTCATCACTGACCTGAACAGACGCTTCTGCCCCCAAAGATGACTGATTAATGTACACAGAGACGTCAAGGTTTACTTTAAGGCAAGTAGCATGGGACAGAAGTTATTTCTGCTGCCATTCTAGTTAAATTGTGTTTGACTGAGCTGTACATGTCATAACATAAGAGAAGCTGTTTCATTTCATCGTAGGCAAATAATACATTTATTACTATTCTACATAGTGTAGATACCGAAGAGCAGGTATTAGAAGTCATTTTCTTAGAGCCCCGTGAATAATGTGTTGTTCTTTTTAACGAAAAGTGGTGCATTTTCAGAATTCACTATGCATCATATCCCTGACATTAAGTTTATTGTTATTTCTAAAAAAGAGTACCACATGTTCATTCAAAGAACGTTATTATAAGTGTACTAAAACATAAATATCGCTTTTGATTAATCGGTGCTTATGATTTTCAATAAACAGTATCAATTTTTACCGAACAGCTTTGTTGCTGATACCTAATCTAAGCAACGAAAAAAGAGACGAGACTCCACTTCTCTGGTGTATTGAAATCATACGTATCTGCTGTGGTGTCAATCATGTGGGGGAGATACTGAAAACGGAGACTTATTCAAGAATAATATTGATGTTGCACATGATGATTTAAAACAGTTTCTTTAAAGTTGTGAGTACTTTCTAGAGATTGAAAAGATCCGAATAAAAAATGTGACAAAAATCGTTTAGTTGCATTTTTTTTTTATTTAAGGACAATACAAACTATAAACAAATCAGTACCAATACCACTAAGTCACTGATGTCTTATTCATACTAGTATAAAGAATATTTGGAAATGATGTTAATTTATGGAGAATGTAAACGCTCTGCTGTGCGCGAATTTACAGGTCTTTTCCCCAACCATCGGCTCCTTGACCAGCATGTGTTTCGTCGTTTGTTGCATCCAGCAAAAGAAGATGGATCTTTTTAGCCTATTCGGAAAGGCCTTCCTGGGGCTACACGGATTATACGCGTAGACGGTGAAGAACAAGTGGCACAAATGAATGGATGCTCAAGATCGATCATGCATCGTATCCTTACAGACAAAAATCTGCATCCTTACTATTGACGAAAGTGCAGCATCTGCGACGAGCCGACTGCGCGACGAGGGCATGTTGCTCAATGGTTACTGCGACAAAATGAACTAAATCCTGATTTTTCACGGCACATTCTTTTCGCCGACGAATGTTCATTTTCCCGAAAAGGAATATTTAATGCGCACCATTGGCACTTCTGGGCAAACGAAAATCCACATTTCGCTAACGTGAGAGCATATCCAGAGCAATACTATTAATCTATGGGCTGGAATCGGGTAGTCGGTTGGTCCCAGATGCTGCACTCTCGTGTAATGGTAAGGATGCAGTTTTCTCTCTTGAAGGATACGATGAGTGGTCGATCTTGAGCATCCACTCATTTGCGCTACGCAGCGGACACTTCTCCTAGGATCCGCTTCCATCAATATTATTCTTGAATAAGTCTCCGTTTTCAGTATCTCCCCCACATGATTGACACCACAGCAGATACCTATGATTTCAATACACCAGAGTCTCGTCTCTTTTTTCGTTGCTTAGATTAGGTATCAGCAACAAAGCTGTTCTGTAAAAATTGATACTGTTTATTGAAAATCATAAGCACCGATTAATCAAAAGCGATATTTATGTTTTAGTACACTTAATAACGTTCTTTGAATGAACATGTGGTACTCTTTTTTAGAAATAACAATAAACTTAATATCAGGGATATGATGCATAGTGAATTCTGAAAATGCACTACTTTTCGTTAAAAAGAACAACACATTATTCACGGGGCTCTAAGAAAATGACTTCTAATACCTGCTCTTCGGTATCTACACTATGTAGAATAGTAATAAATGTATTATTTGCCTACGATGAAATGAAACAGCTTCTTTTATGACATGTACAGCCCAGTTAAACACAATTTAACTAGAATGGCAGCAGAAATAACTTCTGTCCCATGCTACTTGCCTTAAAGTAAACCTTGACGTCTCTGTGTACATTAATCAGTCATCTTTGGGGGCAGAAGCGTCTGTTCAGGTCAGTGATGAACTTCGTGACAGTTTATGACAAACAATTGTCAAAATGATTGAATTTATAACCACACTTCTGTTTCCTTCTGTTGACGGAGGGGGATTCGGAAAAAATTCATTCAACTTTAGTATTACCCGATTTTTTGTTCTTGGCATAGGTAACTTTGAACATAGAAACGTTCAGATATAAAAGCAGCCTCTCTATTGGTCAACTTAATCGCCTTCCAGTTCTCACACGGTTAAAGCCTGGACAATTCTTTTTGCGAATTACGGCACAGTTCGGGACAGGGAACATGTCATTCACGGGAGTGGCGCGAATTCTGGGACACCCTGTATACATAAACATACGTTTATATCACACACAAACGACCATTTTTTGCTTCGTTAATTTGCTCTCACTTTTCCCCTATGCATTTTTTGGTATCTCATTTATTGTCTCAAATTTGATGGATAAATTTACAATGTTTTTAAGACGTAATTTTCCATTAGTTTCTGATTTTATCTTCATTTGATAGTTTAATATATACCTAAACGTCTATGATGTCCTTTAAGTTAAAAATAAACCACATAAAGCACACGAAATAGACAGATACACCTAAAACTTTTTATAGTATAATTTAATAAAAAATGTTTGAGGACCGTCAACGTTAAAACAACGTCATTTAAAATTTGACGTCCCGTATTGTGTTGCTGTTTTTTACTAAAACTTCGTTTATTACAATAAAATAAAAGTTTTGCGCCCTCATGTGACACAGTGTACGATATTAAATTGACGTAGTTACACAACGTTAAATAAACGTTAATAATTTTTTTCGAAAACAAAAATATTTCGTTCGAAGAGTTGTTAAAGAATAACGATTAATTAAAATTTGGTCTTCCCTTCAGAGCAAATGTACTTTTTTCAAATGTTTTCAACGTAAAATTTAATCACAGTGAAGTGAACTAAATATAACGTTTTTTCGACGTCAAAATAAAACTTAAATTCATCAAAATATTCTTTAAACATGTATGTTACTCTGTATTTCGTGGTAAATAAATTTTTTTGGCATCCAATCTATTATCTCAAATTTGATGTATAAACGTACAACGTTTTTAAGATGTAATTTTCAACTAGTTTCTGATTTTATCTTCATTTGATAGTTTAATATGTACCTAAAATTCTATAATGTCCTTTGAGTTCATTAAAAATAAACTATAAAAAGTACACGGAATAGACAGATACACCGGAAAGTTTTTACAGTATAATTTAATAAAAAATATTCAAGGATTGTCAACGTTAAAACAACGTCATTTAAAAATTGACGTCGCGTGTTGTGTTCGTGTTTTTTTGCTAAAACTTCGATTGTTATTAATATAAAATAAAAGTTTTGCGCCCTCATGTGACACAATGCACGATATTAAATTGACGTAGTTACACAACGTTAAATGAATGTTAATAATTTTTTTCCGAAACAAAAATATTTCGTTCGGAGAGTTGTTAAAGAATAACGATTAATTAAAATTTGGTCTTCCCTTCAGAGCAAATGTACTTTTTTCTAATGTTTTCAACGTAAAATTTAATCACAGTGAAGTGAACTAAATACAACGTTTTTTCGACGTCAACATAAAACTTAAATTCATCAAAATATTCTTTAAACATGTATGTTACTCTGTATTCCGTGATAAATTAATTTTTTTGGCATCCAATCTATTATCTCAAATTTGATGTATAAACGTACAACGTTTTTAAGACGTAATGTTCAACTAGTTTCTAATTTTATCTTCATTTGATAGTTTAATATGTACCTAAAATTCTATAATGCCCTTTGAGTTCCTTAAAAATAAACTATAAAAAGTACACGGAATAGACAGATACACCGGAAAGTTTTTACAGTATAATTTAATAAAAAATGTTCAAGGATTGTCAACGTTAAAACAACGTCATTTAAAAATTGACGTCGCGTGTTGTATTCGTGTTATTTTGCTAAAACTTCGATTGTTATTAATATAAAATAAAAGTTTTGCGCCCTCATGTGACACAGTGTACGATATTAAATTGACGTAGTTACACAACGTTAAATAAACGTTAATAATTTTTTTCGAAAACAAAAATATTTCGTTCGAAGAGTTGTTAAAGAATAACGATTAATTAAAATTTGGTCTTCCCTTCAGAGCAAATGTACTTTTTTCTAATGTTTTCAACGTAAAATTTAATCACAGTGAAGTGAACTAAATACAACGTTTTTTCGACGTCAACATAAAACTTAAATTCATCAAAATATTCTTTAAACATGTATGTTACTCTGTATTCCGTGATAAATTAATTTTTTTGGCATCCAATCTATTATCTCAAATTTGATGTATAAACGTACAACGTTTTTAAGACGTAATGTTCAACTAGTTTCTAATTTTATCTTCATTTGATAGTTTAATATGTACCTAAAATTCTATAATGCCCTTTGAGTTCCTTAAAAATAAACTATAAAAAGTACACGGAA